AGACAAGGTAGGAGGCAGACAAAGGATTCCATGGTTATCGGGGAAAAAATTCGAAAACATCTCGGCTGTCATTCAACACTGCGTCATCAATAATTATGAAATAGATTGGCTGCGCAGCAGCGCAATCTCTGCTGAAAGAACTATCAATTTGGAATGAGCAAGGAGGCTCTGTTCATCCAGGCTAAGAGATGTAGAATAGGAATAATTACATGGACTTGTGCTATATCTGACATCTGTTGTTAGAAAAGCCCTGTCAACATGAGCTCATGCGCATTCCGAAACTATGACTCTCGTTATAGACCAAACTTTTACTCAACAATTTGATCTTGCAGAAACATTTATTACTCTATATTAACAGCGAGTCGAGTATGACTTGTAATATCGGCGCTTGATCTAATTAAATGAAAATGCAGAGCTAACTCGTAAGAAACACGAAAACCGGGCATTAGTCTTCCGCATATGAGAAAAATGGCCATTGTTCAAGTCCATGCAAACTACTGAAATATTATACCATAAACCTATATTTTTTGTTAGATATGTGTGTAATCTATTCGCTAGTTTCCATGTTTGCGATTTAAGCCATACAAAAACACGCGATTCTTCCGCAACCATGTCACAGTTGTAGGTAATTGCCATTAAGGGAGGAGTGCATCACAGTATTACTAAAGATTCTCAAGTAAGTTACAGGGAAAAGTTTCAGAAGCGGGAGACGGTGATTGTTGTTTTTTCTAAGTTTCTTCTCAGCTGAAAGTGCTATGGAGACCCCTCGACCTGAAATGATCGTAATTAATTATGTCACGTAGAAACCAGCTAACGCTGCATGATGTGTGGAACTGTCAACCGGTCACCAGCGTAGAGAATGGAGCGGAAAATGCATCGGACGATTTCGATGATGCAGCTGATGAGCTATTGTCTTTCGCGCTTAGTGAAACTCTGCGCAATGTCGGGAGTGAAATCCGCTCTGTCGACATGTCAAAAGTCGATTCCGTCGCCGGGTTTGACATGGAAGCCGGAAAGACTTGGATTTATCCGTCAAATATGCCATACCGCGAATACCAATATAAAATTTCTCGTCAAGCCCTTTTCTACAATACTCTGGTCACACTTCCTACCGGCCTCGGCAAAACTTTCATCGCTGCGGTGGTCATGTACAACTTCTACCGGTAATGCAATATTTTGGTGATATTTTTATGGCTGTTCGTTGGACCGTTTATGAACCTTCGCAGGAAGTAATTTTGAATATAAGTAGTTGAACATAAGTAGCAATTTGTTTCTCCTATCTTTGATTTTTGTGTATGTCTAATAGTTTCCGCTGTCAATAATATTTAATGTCAGATTTTGCTAGCATGCATGGAATCGGCAGATGAAGTGCTTGTTTGAAAGAATGTCTCCAGACCGCCCTGTTCGTATCAAAGGCTTTCTCACCTGACGCCTTCTTTATTAAACGCAGCTGCAGAAACCGGCCTTTTCCTCAGTGCATAGAAATCAAAGGTTATGAAGAACCCATCCGGTACAGCTGATCTACAAGGGAAATAGGCAGGCGAAGCGCTTCAGAAACATGATCAGTTTAAATTTCTCGGATTCATCATCTTCAGCAACGGCACCATCCCGTCAGGCTGAAATAGAAGGATCGTCTATGTTGTTGCTAACTTCTGCAGTAATTGGGCTGATAAAGGGGTACCTCTTTCCACAAAATTCTGACTGTATTTTACTTCAGCAGAAAAGCCTTGTTTTACGGCATAAAGACAATTGTTCTAACGGAGACCCAAGAACGATGGTTGAATTGGTGGCATCACTAAGAATTCGACACATAATAAGTATTAAATAACATGACCATGTAAGGAATGGCACTTTGCTCGGGGCACAGATGACCTCAGTAGATATGGAAATTACGGAAAGAAGGTCCCTCGTAGACAAATTGGCTGCGCATAAGCCATTTACTCCACCTCGTGAGAATCTGGCGTTTTAAGTTAAACACTACGACCAATATCCATTACTGAGGTATGAGATAATGGAAGTTTTGTCACAGAGAAATATTTTCTTCTGCGATGCCGTAACCAGTGCTTTATAGTAATAGTTTTAAAAAACTGAGAGTACAGCTGACATCACATACCAGGGATATT